AGTTTAAGTACGCACCACCATACAATGCGTGGCCGCTCGGGCCTCGAGCTAAGCAATTGGCAAGTCAGCCCAACGAGTGACCTCCTTGGCAAACACCATGTCCTTGCTCTTGAGAAGGCCAAACTTCGGAGTCAAAATGCTCTAGACTGAAGTATCGCTACTCGAAGAGGTGGCGGCCGTTGGAACGGGCTCTGAAGATGTGGTCTCCTCGGGAACACGAGGTGGAGTGGTCTTGCCTGGGTCGTCCTCAACCAAGTCAATTACGGGAGGTTGTTCAGCGACGGGTGGGTGTTCGGGCACAGATGCGGCGACCTCAGTGGTGGTGGTCTCCGTATGGAGGCGAGCCTTCTTGGAGGCCCTTTTCTTCTTCCCCCTTTTGCATGCTCCCGAAGAGCTCATCAGCGGGGATGTCATCCATGGCAACTGCAATAAGTGACGAGCTAAGTCAGATATAACACTGAAGTAAAACAAACAAGGAAAAGGTTCAACAGTTAGCGACCTACCAGGAGGGCTTAGACCGGCCTGCACGAGCTTCTCCTAGATCACAAAGTTTTCGAACTTCAGGCCGAGCTTTGCCCAAGATCGGACCTCCTCCCTTGTGTTCCTGTCCAGTCAGACGCTGGGGTCCTGGATGGCTTCCCTTCAGTGAGTCGGGAAAGGCCACCCCTCGATGTTATGGGCCATGAAGTAGGGTCTCTTCCAGGCCGACACCTTGTTAGGGAGCTCGTGCAACAGCTTGTACCCAGGGCAAGGAGACATATAGTAACTTCACATGTGCTCGGGTAGAACGCAGGACGAGTTCTTCTTGATGGAAAGGATGGAAGAAAAGATGTCAAGGTCTAGAGGACGGTTGTAATCGTGGAAAAGAGAAATGGTACCTACGATGTTACGGATGGAGTTCGGGTGTAACTGGTCTATGGCAATGTCAAAGAATTTAATGACTTCAACTATGAAAGGGTGGAGTGGAAGACGCAGCCCGACTATGAGTTGCTCCTTGAAGACCACGATCTCGTTGTGGCCATGATCCCAAGGAAAGTTGTCTAAGGGAATACTATATACGAAGTCATTGGGAAGTTTGTACCGAGCTACTAAGGATAGGAGCCTATTCGCTGTCATTATTGATGGGTCAAAGCTGTCCGGCAGGCGACCTCGGTGGAAGTGGAGGCCGATTTGCTAGAAACTTCTCTCTCTCGCCGAGGTGAGTCCGCCTCGAATGGATTGGGGTCCACATCCTATGCCGAAGTGCCCACCTCGGCAAGATGAGGCTCCACGGTCTATGCCAAGGTACCCACCTCGGCCCCAACGGACTCTTCGCTCCCATCTAGAAGACTATCTAATCTAAGACTAGACATACTAATGGAAATGACAACGGAACCAAAAGCAAAGGAAAACAAACTCACCAAAAGAAGACCGAAGAAAGAGAGACGACCTTGGACCCAAGAATAGCTGACACCAAGCTGGATACTTGAACGCGACCTCAAGGACTTTGGTTTCGCGGTTTTGTGGCAAAGAAAATGGGCCCTTCAGCCCCTATTTATAACCAATGTATCCGGGAATCAACGATCAAGATCTATACGATCCAACGGCTCCTAAGAAAACCGGATACATGCCTCCCCAGGTTGAAATCAATTTAGTGCACGTTTTGACATCTGTGGAAACTATAATCGGCTTGACATCTACACATACCTAATACGCGATCTAGGTCACTTCCTAGTTGAGTCAGACAAACGAACAAGTCCGACCAACGGTCTGCCTACCACATCACCTAGACCTCGTGCCAAATCCACCTAGGCTCGTCATGAACTCCCTGCGCTGGATTAGAACCCCTAGCACAAGGAGTGGGGGGCAATTGATGAGGGGTAATTTGGCATGACCTAGTAAAGGTCACGTGGACGCAATCTGCCCGAAGAATGACAACTCAACAAGGAGAGCCTAGTCAGCAGTTTTCAGAGTTTGGATGTTCGACCACCTTGGCATAGGGTCACCTCGGTACAAAAATCACCTCAACGCAGAGTCACCTCGACATAAAGGCACCTCGGCACCCAAGCCAGTTCGGGGCTCAGGAACCTAAGTGATACGTAATCGACTCCAGAAGATTCCCAACAGACTCCGAATATCATGGGATCACGCCGTGTAACATCAGGCCTTATCCTCTCCTCGTCCGGATCGAGGGACGACAATAAACTTTATTGATTGATACGTTACCCCCCGACTAAAGTGGAAACGGATCTCATCCACTAAGGCCGCAAATCCTAGAACCGTTTCGCAAGACCCATGATAGCTCACCTATATAAAGGCATAAACCCCTCCAGGGTCCAGGTACGTGCGATTACTTACATTCAAGATCTTTAGCATTCAAACTTTAGCTCGCAACCACTACAAGAATACTGACTTAAGCATCAAAGCGACCTCCCCGAGTCATCCACCCCGGTCCCTCTGATCCCTGTTTTGCAGTTTGATCCAACTCATCACGCGAGTACGTCCAAGCAATCCCTCTAGCTAGGAGCTTTCAGATCGTGCATCGTCAATTTTCATCATATATATACATATTTTTTTATATAAAAATAAATAATATAACAAATTTATGAAATATAATATAAAAAAATATATTTATAAATAAATAAATAGCATATATATGTATTATATATATTTATTATAAATATATATATCGAATCAGATCTTCTCATATTGGATCATGATCCAATCCATTTGCACCCTTAATTGTTAAGCACTAACCATAAAAATGAAATATCAAATTTGCCCTCCACTATTTTTCAAATTTTCAAAAGAAAACCCAAATAATGAAAAAATTTAAAAAAATGAGGAAACAGATCGCGGCTTCAACGATAATGTTTCAGAGATAAAACCTCTTGACGATGAAGCACGCCAAAAGCAACTTCCCCCAACCGCCGGAAAGAAAATAGGAAAGGGGAAGTGAGGATTCTGGGTGTTACAACAAAGAGAATGGTGGACAAAGAACACCAACCAAACTAAACAGTAGAATTCAAAATTTCAACGCTACTGGTCCAGCAAAATTTGTAGACACACGAGAGAGCTTCCACCGCTTCCCTCCATTTTCCTCCAAAAGATCTGCTGTATGCTGCACAATACTTTCATCAACTTCATCAGAATCCCACGTAATATGATAAACTAAACCTGTTCTCCAGAGAAGAGACAGTAGCAGAACCCCCAACAAGGCAACTACAATCACCTGTAATATCCGACGGAAAGCCGCATGCTTGATGCGGTTTTTCCTATCCAAAATCATGAGTTTCTTGTTCAAAGAAACAAACCCCAAAAGACTACCAACTACAAGACTAATTACACCATCCACAGCCAACGAAGAAAGAATCAAAACTTAATAAATGAACAGGTCAACATCACAACTCACAGAACCCATTGAATATTAGATCAAACGAAATAAAGGGTAAGAATCATACACCTCTATACGAGTATCCAAGGCTTGAAACGAAGACAAGCTCTGCATTTCACACCAAGCTTTTGATGCTGCGACCAAATCGAGGACCCCCAATACGCAAACACCCAGAAGCACTCTAGTTTCTGCTAATACATCTGAAAATCTCTTAGCTAAGGACACGGATCGTATAATTCAACACACCATAAACAGACGAAAGAAGAGAAGCCCACCATCAGATACATCGAATATCAAACAGGGTTGCTATATTCTAAAAATCAGATTTGCTCAAGAGCAGAAAACCTCAAAAGCCTTCTAGCTAGACGACCCGACTCCTTGAGTCCTGACTCTTGAGGGGCTCTCGTGGAAACTGCAGGGAACCGTGGAATAAGACTAATTATTCAAGGGGAGTCCTCCAAGTCTTTGGCCTTCATGATACTTTTGAGCCTTCAATTCTTTCTGTTCTCGTTTAGTAGGCGGAATGGATTCGGAGACGATATGCACAAGGTTTTTAAAATCGAACTGGACAACGAACCGGTCAGGGGCCGGTTCTCAGGTTGAACGATCCAACTGTTTGAACCGAATGAACGGCTCATTCTGATAAAAATAAAATAAAAACCGCCAAACCGTTAAATGGTTTGACAGCTTAGGTCAACGGTTTGCTGACCAAATCAATGGTTTACTAACTAAATCAACGGTTTTTGGGAAATAACTGTTCTGGGGTAAAATGGAATCGGTCACTGATCAGTTCCCTTTTTCCGATCTGATTTTGAAAACTATGATATGCACGACATGAACAAGGTGGAATCCCTCGATGACTTCTATAGTGGTGAGACAACGATCATGCTGAGTAGGGCTGTTCACGAGTCGGGTTGGGTCGGTTTACTGAGGTTTTTCCAACCGACCCGACCTTGTCGAGTTACTTGAGATGGAAACCGAAATCGACCCAGTGTTAAGCAAAACCGACCTAGTCGGTTTGAGTCGGGTTGGATTGGTTTGGGTCGGTTTCGGCTCTAACTTCATCCATGCCCCCCATGGCCCATGTGCCTGTGTGGTGCAAGTTTGGGTTGTCAGATATTTTAGTTTTTATGTAAAACTGAAATATCTTTATTTAACAGTTTTAAATATAAAATATATTTAAATTCAAATTGAAATATATATTTAAATAGATTATATCGATTTAATTTAAAATCGAAATATATATTTAAATAGATTATATTTAAATACTTAAGTAGGAACTAAGTCGGTTTGGTTCTGATTGGTTTCTGTTTTCACACAAGAAAACCGAAACCAACCCGAACCATCGATTTATGAATTTGTACAATCCGAAACCGACCGATACTGATGAAAACCCGATCGACTCAGATTAGATTAGTCCGGGTTGATCGAATTGGGCCTTCTTATAAACAGCCTGAGATGGGAAAAACTTTGGCCGTTGGGGGCAACAGCTTCTGCTGTTTGAAAATATTTTTGGGAAATGCCACGTTATCATAGAGTAGGGTAAAATTGTAAGTGCTCTTTATTTCCTTTTAACCACATAAACATAAACATGGACATGAATTGATGAACGTGTCCAATCTAAAAAGAGAGCGAATCCTGTGAACTCCTTAGATCACGGGAAACGTGTACCCTCCAAATAGTATTGCCCTCTGTAAAATGGAGCTCCCTAAACTTCCGTTAATGGGATGAATCTGGTTTGAATAGGATAGAAAAATACAAAAAAAAAGAGAAAAAAGAATCCATCAACGGTACTCATTACATTACCGCTCGTAGAAGCCGTTGTTTATTTTGGTGGAATGGTTTCTTGAGTTACATGCGTCTAACCAGTGGAGGAGGTGTTGAAGCTCTCTCGAGGGACAATCGTAGGCTTTAAAAAGGGGATAGTTTTTTTTTAATGGCTAACGTATTTGTTTCCAGCCTTCCAGCGCCAGCTTGTGCAAGTATCACTGAATACATCTAAAACCCCATGTTTGCGTCTTGATCTTCCTACTCCTTTGTATGAATTTGGATATTCTTTTAGTTTTTTTTTTTTCGGATAGCTTCGATTTCTAGGTATTTTGTTTTGTTTTTTCAATGAAGGGAATGATCATTAAGTCACAGCGGCATGGGAATACATCTAATTCCCATGTCTTCTTCCTTGGGCAAAGGTGGCAGCTCAACCGACACAGCGGCGTGGTGGCGATTCGGCTGCAGCAGCTGAACCCAACAGTTGTATTGGGGGTGGTGGTTCCCGAAAGGATGGATGTTTCTCGGAGCTTCAATCTATTCCAAATGCGCAGAGATTGTTAACGGCAGCACCACTAGAGTGGAAAAATGTGGCTTTGGAATGAAGATTAGGAAAGTATGTTTGTCGGAATTTGTAGATTTGGCTAGTCAAGAACAATCACTTTTTCGATGAATCATGTGCGACATAGATGACCCATCTTCTGGTTTTAAGCATTCATTCCAGGGTGGGGGTTCTTCGGAGGAGTTTAAAGGCAATGCCGGGATCGTCAACAAGGCTTTGTGTTGGAATCCGTTGGGAGAGGAGCTTTTGGGAGCGGTAATGTAATAAATACTGCCAGTGCCGGTGGATTCAGACAGATTCTTTTCATTTTTTATCTTTTTTTATGTCGTTCAATCGGATTCATTTATTAAAAGAGTTGGAACATTAACAGAAGATTCATTTTGAAGAGGGTGGCGTGCACACTTGCTATTGAGAGGACAAGTTGGTTATTAGGATTTTGGTTAGAAGATTTATACAGGGATCAGGGAAAGTTTATTTTTTTGGGTATATAAATGATACCTATCTCGTAAGTGAGTAAATAATTTTTTCACTTAAAAAGAAAACTGCGGACACTTAATGGAATAAAAACTCCCTTTATCATAATGGAATTTTATGATTAAAATAATCATTATTTATTTACATGAGAAATGCACTAGATATATGTTTCCAAAAAAAAACTTATTCAAAAAACTACATTTACCCGAATAAATAATTTACAGGGCCTTAAGATTTCACGCTTCCCGAGAATTGAGGGGTTCATAGGATTCACTCTCGCCTTAAAAACGAGAGTACGAGTGCATGTAACCGGTATAAGACAACTCAGCACGAGGGAGCATATGGGTTTTTATAAAAGGTATTTTAAAAATTTTCATAAAATATCAATCACGTAACGTTACATGTATTTAACATTAGAGGTTTTAATTGACAAAAAATTAACATGAGCGGGTTTTAGATAATTGCCATGTATTTAAGACAAGAAAATATGTAAGCAGTAAGGATAGGATAGATGTTTTAGATAATTGGCCAATTATTAATTCTCGTTCATCAGTTAAAAACCAAGACCAAGAGTGTCACTAATCACTATCAAGGCGGATCGCGGATCGCGGATCTTGAACTTGAACAATTGGACCAGAGCAAGCCAAATTTCACTGTCTCGCTAACTTTTAATTGTTCCAACTTGCACGGAAGTGGCATGCCGGTGATCAACCAGCTCCGACATTGCTCCAGCCTCCGGGATCAATCCAACTATCCGAGACCGGGCTCAACGTCCAATTGCAATTGCCCGAAACCCTAGGGAGTTGCCCCATTTGTACCAATATCTATGTACTACGGCATTGAAATTTGAAAGAGAACGGAATTTTGGTTCCTCGGTTCTTGCAGACATGGACCGGACACCGGAGTCTCGAACCATAACCATTGGAAAATTCCCAGCATCACAAGAAGAGGTTAGAACCCTGTTCATTACAGGGCTTCCTGGAGATGTAAAGCCTCGCAAGATTTACAATCTGTTCCGCGAATTCCCAGGTTACCAATCTTCCAAGCTCCGTAACTCTACTAGGAGCTCACAGTTACTAAAACACTAAACCACTCCCTTCTTTGTTTATTTCTTTCCCTTTGCCCTACCTCTCTTTATTTGATCTACAATTGTTTCCATTTGTGTTCAAGGGCACCTGAATTTTCACTGAAGATTTCTGGCCATGGTCTTATCTGAATGTAACAATTTATCGCCTTTTGAAAGTTTGCCTTTATTCCCCTTTAATGGGTCCCAATACTTCATTGCTAGAAAACAAGTAAACTATTTGCACACCAGCCGGGAATTGAATCCCCTTCAGCGGTAGATTCAAGTTTCCTTCTTGCCTGTCAATTATTTCATTGCACATCACGAAAGAATGACTTTTCTGAATGGAAATTTAGAGCTCCTATGTAATTCAAAGATGCTATTTACTAGCTGGAGAGATCCTTGACACTTTTCCTATCTTTCCTCATCTAACCAGAATCCATACTTAGTTGACTGTACATTGATTCTCAGTTTCTTACCGACTGTCTCAGCTATCACTGACTGAAACTGCAACACTTGTAAAGTGTTTTTTGTTTCAGGAATAGTGGGAGGGATTTCCTTTAATTGGCACCTTTGCATCTGATAGGAATTGAAGTGTTCTATAATTTAAAATTCATTGCTTCATCCGGCAGTAAAACTGTGATTCTTTCTTAATTCTCTTTCCTCATTAGGCTGTACCTGTGCAAGAAAAATAAAGTGGACCATGTCCCTTTCTTACCCTCCACGAGAATGGGACTCCAAGTGCAACAAATGCCCTAGAGCGCAGCTTTTCAGTTGGAAAAACTACTTATTCATTTTTTTTTCTAATAATTTAAGCATGCCTCCCTTACAATGACCACTATTCTTGACATGTACTATTATCACTATTCTACACAATGCATAACAAACTTTTGAATTGTGATGAAACCTGTCCCCTAGATGCCGTTAAGCTTGGTATTCTATGCTTTACTGAAATGGTGATTTCATTGGCTGCTCTCTTAACATGTTTCATTGGGTCTTTAACGGGCATTTGCTTTTGCTGTCTTCTCAGATCAACAGTCTGCAATCTCAGCAATGCATGCCTTGAATGTGCTTGCATATAGTATTAGATACACCATTGCATATTGCGGTCCTTATAAACTGTATATTACTCAATCTTGTTGATTGATTTATCTTTTTCCTTTCTTTTCATTAAAGTTCCAATCTTCCTGTTTTCCTTTCCTTCCCTTATAGTAAGATCTCTCTCTCTCTCTCTCTCTGCATTTTGGAAATGCATACATGCAAATATGGTTTTAGATATCATCTTATGAGTGTCCAAGGTTTAAAGTATTGACATGATATGCTCCGTATCGAGCATATTGTATCGTATTGCCTTATTGGCAAGCCACCGATACTCGAAATATAAAAGGTATGGGATTTTGGGTATTTTCAGGGGGTGGGCAGGTGCTGCAGGCCTGAGACCGACCCCTGACCAATTTTGAGAAAAAAAATGATATTCTGTAGTATCGAAACACCTGATATGCCTTGATACCTTGTGAATATCAAGGCATCACCCAGGCAGGTGCCTAAGCACTGTCTAGGCAACAAGGTTGTTTTACTTGAGAACCTTGCCACTGTCCCATATATTGAAAAAATAATAATAATAAGGATTCTGCCTTCTAGGGCAATGAACTTGCCTAGTGAGAAAATGTGCAATAGAAGCACCTTGCTGTGTTCTATCTTCTATGTAATTATGGTGTGGTAGTAAACTGAACCATCTTATAAAAATTCCAATCTGGGGCTCTCTTTAAGGGTTTTACTGTTTGACATTGGAGGGTTGGAAGAGGAGGAGATTGAAACTCTCAGAATACAGGATCTGCTCAGGTTGGTTAGGGTTCATTAAACTGTTAAGGCTCAGGATAGTTCAGGCTCATGTGAAGTTTTGGGGTGCCAAGCTCAGCCTGAGCTCGCCAGTATATTCATTGTATAACTAGCTAAGTCCCACAATCTATCATACCTGGATAACTGCACAAGGGCGCTTTGTCATGTTTGATACTTAGTTTTTAGTGTAAATTTTATATTCAACACCAAGTTCCATGTCTCGTCAGGAGCCTTTTCAAGTTGAAATATCCATCGTTCTTGTAGAATCTATGCAAATGCCTTTTTTGTAATCTCCAATGATAGATCACATCAATCTGAACGTATACAAGAATCCATTCCAGTTATTATGAAAACATAGTCCTATAACCTGATTATTCCTTGATTTCATCACAAAATCCCAAACTTGAAGGCTTTGTATTACATTGGAAAACAAAAAGGATTTAATTGTATCTTTTTGAATCACAAAACCAAATAAAATCCTATAACTTAATCATATGAATTAGACTTCAATTTATAAAAGTCAAACCTTCAAGATGGAGGAGGCTTTAGGAAGGAGAGATAAAACTTATGTCTAACCAGATAATGAGAAAGCTGTATGTAGTATAATCTTCTTTTGTTCTGTAATTCTAGCCTGTCCAACTCTGGCTAAGTCCAGCTGAATTGGGCTGTCTAAGTCCAGCTGAATGTCCATGCTAGGTCAGTGTGATATGATAACATTTAAAACTCATATTATATTGAACTCTGTATGATTGTACTTGCCCCTACTGTGATTTAAAACTCAATTGTATTGAATTCTGTTGTGATTACTGATCAATTTTGCATTAGAAATTGCTATTGAATATGACTATGTAATAGGAATCAATCAGCATCCTTGAAGACTTATTCTAGAAAGGACTTACAATGGGTCCTGATATGGCATAATGGTGGTACTTGGGATTTGAACTGAATTGGACACCAAGGGTATTTTTGTTATTTTACAATTTTTCTGTAGGGTCCAATGATACAGTTTGATTGTCTATTTATAGTTTGCTTATGTTTAAAATTTCAGTCATTGCATAAGTAGGATTAAGGGCCCGTTCTTTTTTGGATTTTGAGAGGGGGGAAAGTTGATTAATGGGATTTTGGTTCCCATTGACCATGATACCCATGTTTTTTTAGATTTATGTGGAGTCCATGATACCGATCTCCCAGGTGGGTAAGTAACTTTCCCACCTGGGGGGAAAGTTGCCAACCCTTGGATGAGACAAAATTGCCCCTTTTAATAATGGCTTTTTATGGCTAAAACGGTTATTGTCTTGTTTACCTAGGAAATAAAAGAACATGGCCAAATGCACTTACCTAGGTAAGTATTTTCCAAGAAACACTTGCTCGAGGAAGTAACTTCCTGAAAAGCGAACGAGGCCTAACTAAGTCTTCTTTGAATTGAAAAAGGATATGGCGGTTTCGTTTGAGTACTGCTAGGATTATTATGAGTCTAACTGTTTTGACTCATAGGACTGCTGAGTCTAACAGTTTGACTTGTAGGATTATTATGAGTTTAGAGTTTATAAATACGTATGGACGTTTTACACAAAGAGCAATGAAGTTTATTAAATTTTCTTCAGCTTATGCTAATTACGGTGAGTGACTCGAATACCCTAGAGTGATTCGAGGTATTTTCTATCTTCTTTCTCTCTCTATTTTCTTTCTTATTCCTTCAAGAAGCCATTACAGCCGTCAACAGCCATAAATTTCTGATCAAAGAAGACCATTCAACATTCTCTAAGAACTAGAATTGAGCTGGTCCTACATCACTATGGAATTTGTAAACTGTCTATATAGGCAAATCTCTGAATTTCTTTATCTGAACTGACAAAGAGAAGGAAGACTTTAGGATCTTTTGCAACTTTTGCAGTTGGTATTGATTCTATTGAAGTAATGTACTATATCAGAATTATGAAAGTTCTCTGTATTTTCAGAGAAAGGACCACATTCAATAATCTCACTTAGACCTGGCAAAAAGTTGACCC